CACCCAAACTAACAGCAGCACCGAGAGCAATCAGAAGAAAACGGGATATTGCCACGTTTATGAACTGCCCAGTTCTGAACCCGGAAATTATGATATAACAATATGTGAGCAAGAAAACCCGGAATCCGTATTCATAAGCCTTCATGGATGGGTAGAGTTTCATGTAAGTCACAATAAACCCTGAAAACAAGCAACCATTAAAACAAAACATAAGCTGATCAGAGACAAAGAGTTATGAATGTTGCAAGGAAAATGATAATGGTGATGCAAGAGACTGAGACATATACCAATACAAAAGATACTTATGGTGACGAAAAGCTCTTCCCAATCACCAGCAAGTTTGGAGAGCTCGGCCATCCCGAGGGCTAAACCTCCGGCTGATAATGTCCCGATCCCTCGGTTAAACCCCTTGCTCAGAGTCGCCCCTGCAGGACAACGATCCGATCCAGTCACTCATCAATGTAGATTACTAATGTCAGAATTACAAAATAACGCTTCAAATGACAGAACTTTCTCCAATTAACTTAGAAACTATATTGAACATAATGAGACAGAAAAATATAACCAGAAACAAGAAAACCATGTGGATTAGCCTAACAGTGAGTCTTCAAGAACCATGAGTACATTAGCTTCATGGAACTTAAAGCACAGCTTATGATTATGTAATGGGATTTATGCAAAATTGTAAAATATATATATATATAAGGGCAAGACAGAGGCATGAGACAACTCATGAAACATCTGCTTCAGGGTTCAGTTTCGATCGAAGTTCAACAACTTCAGGAATCTCGAAATCGACATTTGCATTATTCATGGAAAGCGAGTATTGTTGCATAATCCACGGATTGCTAACAGTGGAGATGTTACAGTAGATGAATGGCGTCTAATGAGACGGAGTAAGATTCTCCAGTTCAGCGTCAGACAAATCTTCAACGCTAGTCAAAGCTCTTGAACTATTCTCTCTGTGTTTTTTAAATGTTTGAAATATATTTAATTAAAGCAGAAAATAAGGAAAAATTATCAAAGACCCAAAATCAACAAGTTTCAGAATTGGGGGTTTTTCCTTCTCAAATTCGAATCATGCCAGTCGATTGATCAGTAATGAGATGAGAAATTTTATCCCCAGACAAAACCAAATTCAAATCAAAATCATCGGAAACAAAAGTTTGGAAGATTTAGAAGATGATTACCGATTGTGAACTCGAACACGACGACGACTGTGAGAATAGCCCAAACAGAGTAACGGCTGAGATCTGGATTAGGTTCCTGGAAGAAAATCAGGACAGCCACAATCGTCAAAGCCAAAGCCATCTTCGCGGAGAAGACGATTTTCCTCGGATCAGACGCGCCCATATCCCACGCTTTTCGCGCCACATCGCCGGCGTACAGAAAAAACCCGGAGAGCTTTTCGGAGAGCTTCCGGAACGAACAGCTGCAACAACAGCAGAAGCGAGTCCGACCATGACTGTTGTCGTCGACAAACTCGTTCGACTCGATATCCACGAATCGGAGGTCGGAGAAGCCATTGGAGAGAAACCTCTCACGCTTCTCGAACATGCTCTGCCTAAAGGAATCAAGCTTCGGCGCCATTGCTGGACATGTAACTGTAAGAATGGTGGTGAAGTTTTTTTTTTTTTTTTTTTTTTTTTACAG